TGTATCCCTTCCAGATTCATGTGTTGGAACTTAAACCCCAGGGTGATGGTATTAAGAAGTTGGACCTTTGGGAGGTCATTAGGTCAGGAGGGCTCTGCCTTCATGAATGGGATTCATGTCCTTTAAAAATGAGACTTTGGAGAGCTTCCTAGCCCCTCCACCTCTCCTACTAAGTGAGGACACAGCAAGAAGGCACATCTTAGCAGAGAGCAAGCCTTCACCAGACACTGAGTCTGCCGGTGCCTTGATCTTGGACTTCACAGCCTCCAAAACTGTGAGCAGTAAATTTCTACTGTTTATAAATAACCCAGTCTAAGGTATTTTGTTATAGCAGAATGAATGGACTAAGACACTACTTTATTTGACAGCTAAGGAAAATGAGGCTCAGACAGGGGAAGTGATGTGCCTGAGGTCACTCAGCTGGTGGTGGAGCTGGAAGCAGAGCTGCAAGGTTCTGAGAAGCCCATTGAGGGTGTGGACCTTGTGTGCCTTAGGGGTGGGGAGTTAAGCCTGGGAAGAGGCGCAGAGTATGAACTAAGGAGGAATTGAAAGACGCTGTCGCGGCCAGCCCTGTGCAGAATAATTGTGTTCAATGATGCCACCAAGCTGGCTGTCCTTCTATGGTACCTGGCTACCAAGTGTAGTTGGATCAAAGAGGAACACTTGGAAATTTAATAGAGTGGCCTACGCTTATTGGAGTTTTCTTATTTGTCCAGTAACTTCATTTATTTGAAAAACAATTGAGAGCCTTGAATGAGGATAAAAGATCTTGGAGCAAGTAAAAGAGATCAATCGACTTATTGATCAATTACTAAAGAAATGAATCAATAAAAGAAACATATATGCAACATTTAGTATCCATAGGCCCTGGAAACCTGCTGGCAGCTAGAGGTAAGGCAAGCTCAAGGCATGTGGAGCTGAAGGTGGGAGAGAGACATATAGGCAAATGAAGATTGGATCCTATGACAGAGGTTACGAAAGAGAATCCAGAGTGCTGCAGGGTCCTGGAGGAGGGACATCCAAACTAGGCAGGTGAGAGCAGGCATGAGTAAGGAGACTGTCTTGGAGGCATGAGCAAGAAGACAAATGTCTTGGAGACTGCTCTTTTTGAATGGGGTTTTGAGGGATGAATAGGAGTTAGCAAGGTGAAGAAGAAGGTAAGTGAAGGAAATGGAGCCTCTATAGAGGAGCACAGAACCATGAAATAGCACAACACTATCCAGAGAAGGCTATAAGATGCATGGTGGGGAAAAAGCAAGTGCTGAGACTAAAAAAATCATTGTGCAGCTAGAACAGAAAGCCCCGTATGCCAAACTAGGCCATTTCCCAAACTGTAGTAGCTTAGATGCAGAGAATCATAAATGGAAGAAGAAGAGGACAGAGACTCATTCAGTTTTTAAGGAATGGCTAATAATGATCTGTCAGGTTTTTTTTTTGGTATATAAATGAGGCATGCCCAAGGGAGTATAAGCTCATGGGAATGCACAAAAGAAATCCTAGGGAGAACTTTGAATCGAGGGCCACAAAATGGAGCTAACATTATTAAAGGGCAGCAAGGTCAGAGCCAATATCCAGGTTATGTTAATCCACTTTAATTATGCCGTTATCCAGGGTAGGAACTGCTACTTCAGTCTCCTGTTAGGCTATAGATGAGCCAGGACATTTTACCTAGGTGTTCACGTGGGAGCCACCTCCAGATGGCATGTCGGGGGAGGTTGGGTCTCCCACATACAGGAGGGGGGTTCTCAGAGCAGTGCTGGACCCTGCCTGCATTGCCCTGTCACTGGCCCCTGCTGGGGAGAAGACAAGGCACTAGATGCTCCTGCAGGGGCGGCAGTTGACAGATGGGTGTTGTGCATCTCACGTAGACTTCGGGCAGAGCCTCACAGATCCCTGCCCGTGTGAGCAAGACAATCCGCTCCTAAGACCAATGTTTTGAAAAAGATGGGCCTCTTCCGAATGCACGGTCATGGGACTGCAGCGTTTTGCTTTGTCAGTGCCCTGGAAGTCTCCCTGGGTTGACGATGAGCTTCCAAGGGCTTCTCCCTGCCCCCGGCCTGCGGGGAGTCCTGGGGGATGGGCTCTCTGGGGAGGCCAAGAAATATCAAGGGACTGGTGTGCTTCCTTCTTCGTTTCCTGTTACCTCGCCAGGACTCTTGGCTCTGGTGAAGCGAGAGGGAACAGCAGGGCAGCCGTGCCAAGCGGGTTCTCTGAGGCCTTTTCTTTCTGGGTAGTACGTTCTGTGGGAAAAGGCCAGACTGACTTTATTCCAGGACTTTAATCAGTTTGATGCTTGAAAGCTCTTTTTCATAGAGACAGAATGTGGTAGAGTAGAAGGGGTCCTAGATAATGCAGCCCAGTGTTCAGTGAGCACCCCTGCCTGCTCCCCGCCTCTGGCTCCTCCGTGGTAACAACCTGTCCTCCCCTCCTTCCTCCTGGAGCCTGTCGTAGAGATTTGAGGTTGTTGACTGACGTCCCCCAAAGCCTGGGGGTTGGCTGATACTGTCCTAAACCAGTTGTACCTCTCCATATTCCCTCACCTCTATAATCTTCCCATCCATAAAATGGGTTGATTTTGCCTGCGCCATCTACCTCATAGTGACCAGCAGAAGAGCATGTACTTAAGTCCCATGAAATGTAGTAAAAAGTGACACATAAATATTCTGACTGTTAGTATTAAGTACCAGCATTATCATCTCACTCTATTCAGAGATTTCTAAAAAGAATGAAAGGAACTTACATAAACTAGGAATTGATTAAGCCAAGGTGTAAAGTATGCTGAATTCTCAATACAGTTAAATCAAAATTTGTGTTTTTAACATTGTACTAAAAACAAACAAATTAGCAAAAACCATCTAACACAATGAAGCTGTGCCTAATTCTACTGAACTTCTGTGCTGGGTTTTAAGACCACTGGATTTTCTCTGTAAATGAGCTTTGAGCAAATTAATATTTCATTCAAGCCCCTAATAAAATGCTTCATTCTGTACTGATTTATAATTTCTGTCTGTTGTTACCATATAAATATACCAGAAAAATGAGAAAACTAGGTCTTGAATCACCCCTAACTCAAATATAACAATAATGAGAGAAGAAGGAACAGTGAAGCTCAGAGTCCAGAATCAGATTTGTTAGCATCATAGTGTCTGCCTCATAGGATAGCAGTTGCCATGTTCTGACTACTTAGTATGTGCTGGGCACATTGATGGTTATTTTATGTGCATGACCTCACTTTGCCTTCAGAATGCTGTCCTGTGAAGGACGTGCCATTGTGACTCCTGTTTCATAGGTAAGGCAAGTAAGGTTCAGAAAGGGAAAGACACTTGCCGGAGGGCACACAGCTTAGGAGTGGCAGTTGTCATCTGACTCCACAGTTCACATTCATAAACTGCTATGCTACACTGCTTCCCTGTATAATATATGAGGGGACTCCAGGGAGAAATCACATGTCCAGTATTTCATCATTTATCTGGTGGTTCTTCATATCTAGCCGACTGCCTGTAATTCATCAAAAATATGGAAACCAAAAAGCAGGTATCCCAATGTTATTCAGCTAGGCGAGCATCCTGGCAAAGCACAGCCATGTGGATGGGCTAAGCTCACCATTCCTTAGACACAATACAGCCCCAAGTTCATTACTGAATTACAGCCTAGTGCAGCAACTGATGCTGTGATAATGATGACTTGACTTTTTTAAACCATATTTAAGGAAACATGGAGGAAAAAAATATATTGTAGAAATGTTATTTTTAAAATATAACCTTTTACAGGGCTGGTACTTAAATCTGTAATTGTTCATTTCTGTTTAAGTTCATAAATCTGGGTAAATGAGGTTTTCGGTATTACATATAACAATCTAAAATGATATATAAAACCTTATAGTACTGTTTTATGCTATGTGCATCTCAGATCTTATTGCTACAGGATGATACCAGATAAACACACATGCACACTCACATATCTATATACATATGTATATGCTCTGTAACTGAGATACTGAGATGACAAGTTACTATGAAAACCTAGATGTTTATACTTCATGTTTTAAAATAGTCTGTGTCATTCCTGCTATTCCTATGATACTCATGACACTGACTGTCTTGCACCAAAGTGGGGTGTGGGTGTGTGTGTTTGCACATAGCTTCATGCAGTAGAGCAGGAATAGAAGAAGGAGCTAGGAAGACCCGCATACAAACCCTGGCCCTGCCTCCCACTAGCTGGGACACCTTGGGCAGTTTGACCTCACTGAGCTCCTGTAAATGCAGTTAATCATAGTTTGGGAGGGGCTGTTTATTCTGCCTAAGGGCTCACATTTCCATAGAGGGAGAAATCTTCTATTTCTCCACAGGAAGGGAAAAGTGGGAGCAGAAAACTCCTGCTTTTCACGGTGTGCCTCCAAGAGGACCAAGGAAGGCCTTACCTGCCTACTGAGTCTCAGCTAAGGAGCTTTCCCAGTGTTCAGCGCTGTCTGGGAGATCAGTCTTGCCTCTGCTTCCAGAAAACACACATTTTTCACTTGCCTTTATATAGGAAGTCTCTTTTCAAGGGAGTCAGGGAAAGGGCAAGTTGTAGGGAGCTTGATTCTGGTTGTAGGATGGCATCTTCTCCAATCTAGCTTAATCAGTAAGAAAGCTAAGAGTTTGGTCTCTGACTTTTGTGTGCATCTTTCAGTTGTATGGACTTGGGGGTGTGGAAGCAGGTTGTTGTCCCCCCCACTCTCCAACACTTTACAGGGTAGATGTGATAGTTAAATTGAGAATGTGAATATTAAGAACTGATACACAGTAGATGTTTGGTGTCAGCCAGATCTCTCTGTTTTTCTTTCCCATTTATGGCCATAAACAGAACATGGCCCAGCCTGGGTCTTATAAATGCTTCTCTCCTTCCCCTACCCGAGTACTGAGCACAGGGTGTCAGACATGAACTGATAAGACTTTATTTATGAACAAGAGCCAGGAGAGACTTAACAAATCAATTAATCTAATGCCTTCATTTTCCAGATGGGAAATTTGAGGACCACGGACACTAAAGACCTTGCCTGAGATCACAGGGCTCTTAAGGGCACACCTGGGCCCTACGCAGATCTTGTGACTCAACACTGTGTGATTTCACAGAACAAAGGGGGAAACTACATCTTCTCTGGAGTGTAAATTACAAGGCTGCCTAAAACTCCAGAGCTTTGTCAAGGTAAACTGTTTCCATTTTGATAGAAGAACAAGAGAGCTCCTGAAATACTTCTCTTTTGACCTACTTAGCTATTATTCATCTCCCTGCCACCCCCGCCCTATCAGCAATTGCTTTCGTTTGGAAAAGCCTGCTGTGGTTTATCATTCTATCTGTGGCTCTGGTTTTAAAGATGTTCTCAGGCGAAGCAAGGACTTAAAACATGCCCCAGGAAAGCTCTGAGAGACAACGAGACCATATGGCCCCTCTCCCTTCCTTCTCTGACTGTTTTGAAATATACTAACCCACTTGGGGGACACAGCTGAGGACAGTGGGAAGAATGATGGGAACATTCCCATCCTTTGGAGTCTTTTCTCAATCCACGGGCTTAAATGTTGTCCGGGCAGTCACTTGCCCTTGTGGTTACCAATCGGAGACCAGCTCAAGAGATATATGATGGCCAACTCAGTAGGTATATTCCATCCTCCTGCCCTGGAGTGCATTGTGTAATGAAGACAGGATCTAATTTACCATCAGAATATCTCAGAAAAATAGGAGAAATATAGACATATCTATTCCCATTTTACATATCAGGAAATCAAGCGATTTTAAGACTTTCTCACTTCTGCCATCCTCTGCACTTGCTCTTCTTTTTTCCTGGAATATTCTTCCCTACCTTCTCTTTCTGGAAAGCTCATACTCATTCTCCAAATTCAGCTCCTGTATGCAACTTATTCCTTTCCTTGGTGCTATACCTGGTATAATATTTAAACAGTTTTACAGTGATTTATCATTTATGTCTCTATGTTTCAAAAATGCATTAATTTTTTTTTTTTTGAGACAGAGTCTCGCTTTGTTGCCCAGGCTAGAGTGAGTGCCGTGGCATCAGCCTAGCTCACAGCAACCTCAATCTCCTGGGCTCAAGCAATCCTGCTGCCTCAGCCTCCCAAGTAGCTGAGACTAAAGGCATGTGCCACCATGCTGGGCTAATTTTTTCTATATATATTAGTTGGCCAATTAATTTCTTTCTATTTATAGTAGAGACGGGGTCTCGCTCTTGCTCAGGCTGGTTTTGAACTCCTGAGCTCGGAGCAATCCGCCTGCCTCAGCCTCCCAGAGTGCTAGGATTACAGGCGTGAGCCACCGTGCCTGGCCATTAATTTTTAATAGTGATCACAAAAGCCTTGTCATCTGTGTCTCATAGACAAGAACATGAAGCTCAGAGAAGTTATGTGACTTATTCAAGATCACTGGGACAGTAAGTGATGAGGCTACTTCTTGGACACAGGACAGTCAGCCTCCAAAGCAAGTTCTCTTTATTATGGTGTGAAACTGCCTTTTTAACAACAAAAGATCCAGATGTAAGGATGCATTTTACCCTTGGCTAACTCCTAATACCAATAACTACTAACCAATACCAATAACTACTAACTCCCATTGACATATGCTTTATGATTTACAAAGCACTTTTGTATATGCATCATCTCATTAAATCCATGTAACAAAGCTATAAGGTGGAAGTTGCTCTGCCATTTTAAAGTCTATTGCTTTATAGTTGAGGAACTTGAAGCTCAAAGAAGAAACTTGCCCAAAGTTATCCTGATATTTTATGAAAGTTAATGATTTGTAGGAAATTAAACCTACATCTACTAATTCCAAATCCCTTTGCAATTGTTGCAGCATTTAATTAAGGTTTACAGTCAGCTTAACATGCAACATTAATGCAGTAGTGGTAGAATAGCCAAATAAACTGCATAGTCCTTAGAATACCAAGACATACTTTTTGTTTCCAAATGTTGTCAGACCTTTCTTCCTTTGGCCATGGTGTGGTGCCAATGAACAGGGCTCTGCTGCATATCAAAATTGAGTGAACGAATCCCAGGCCTCAAAGTGTGATCTAGAGTAATCATTAGTCTTCTGTGTGTTTATCACATTTTTACATGACTTGAGTTGACGTTACAGAGCACAACTTCTCAACCCTTTTATTTTTCTCTCAGTACACACAAGACACATTCATGGGAGAACTTAACAGTATGCATCATTCTCCATGTTTTAAGTTTAACTTGGTCCTTTTCTACTCAGGAGAACAAGGAAGGGAGTGAGAAGGATATTATTAGAAGAAAACCCCAAATATTTGATTTAGTTTGAATTATGTATTTTTTTTTGTCAACTTTGCTACCTTAGAGGTAACGAGTGCTTCGGACACATCTCACAACGGATTGGGACACGTATGTAGTATTTTTGCACTAATAAAGAATGACAAGTTCACTACAGCAGGGCTCACAGTTGGGTAGGGCAAGGAGAAATGTAGTACTGGCTATCACTTAAGACAGAACGCCCTGGTGCTGAGAATCCTTGTGCTATGAGTACGGAGGAGTGAAGGCTGTCTTCTGGTTGGGAAGATGAAGCAGATTTTGATAGAGAAGTGATTCTTTGACTGGAACCTACAGGGATGAGTGATATTTTCACAGGTATTAGTGGAAATGGAGAAAGAAAATGGAAAATCATAAGCATCATAATACTTTCTCTGGGGCCTGGGGGAATGTTAAGCGGCCCTGTTAAAAATCAGAAGAGACATTTTGGAATAAGGAAGTAGGTAGGACTTGGACACTATGCTATTGTGTTTGAACTTGGTCCTCCAGACAATGGGGAGCCATTAAGGATTTGGAGCAGGGGCGTGACATGATCCAGTTCACGTATTTGAAAGATTACCCTGGCAGCTCTCATTCTATGGTATCACGATGATCATAACCTGATGAAGAACCTTATGACTTGAAGTGGGGAAATAGGAGTGCTTGTGATGAGCTGAAAAAAGAAAATCAAAGATCCCATTTTCCTACTTGTGTCAAGTCAAATAAATGGAGCCAGATAAACGTGGCAAAAAATCGAGATAGTAGCAAAATTGCCTGGAAGCAGAATGTTTTTCAAAGTCCCTAATGAGGTGTCAGTGAACCTAATGAGATGAAACTCCCTACCCTACACCTAGTTTTTCACACTGTCCTTTTCATCCAGTCATAATTAAGTTGTGAAATTGGAATAATATCCTATCATTAAAGACGGAGGCCAACTTTGCCTGGCTCCCGCTTCCCCGAAGAAGGTAACTCTGCAAGGTACCCTCCTCCATTGCTGCTGCTCCCACTTATGCTTTGATGTGGCTTCGGGCGAAGGCCTTGTCGTTTTAGATTTTGATTAAGAAGGACCACGTGGCTCCTCTTCATTGATTTCGGTATTGAATTCCGTCATTCTCAGTTAGGGATTATTAGGTGGCGGAAGTAGAACAGAAAATGACACAGTCTCTTGGTGCCATTGGCATATTAGCAGAAGGGAAGGGTGGACAGGGAAAAGAAGCAGCTCCCATGGGCCAGATGTTGTGCAGGGCTCTCTAGATATGTTGGTATCCCTCTGGTACTTTCAGGGTGTTACCACGAGAGATAAGCATTATTCCCATTTATAGATGTGGAAACTGGGGCTCACAGGGATAATAAGTCTGTAAAGTCCCCTACCTGGGAATAGAATCCAGGCTAGACTTCCTCTAAACCCATGCTTTCTCTTTTCTAGTGTAATAGTAGATGATGACTACTTTTGCATACAAATGGGGTCCCCTGAGAGGGGGCTTAGATCCATCAACCAACCCTCAGTGAGTGTCCACCCCCATGTCTCATGCACTTTGCTACAGCACTTATTGGTGCATTGTTTGATCCCCCAGAAATCCTTTGAAGAGGTGTTGTTGGCCATGCATTAGGAGTGAGCCAATTGTGGCTCAGAGAGCCTAAGCGATTTACCCCAAATCACACAAGGAAGTGCAGATTCCACCTCACTACATTTTCTGTCAAGTTGGAATCACTATGGGACAAATCGTCTGACCACTGAGGATGAGGCCAGGAAAGGGCATTTCAGGTAGTGGGGCCAGCTAGCAGGATGTGAGAACTGTTTGGGAGGCAGGGCGGCTTTTCTGAATCCTAACCTTCTGGAATGTGGGGGTACAGTGAGAAGGAGGGGAACAGTTAGTTCTGCAGCATCAGCCCAGAGTCCCAGAAGAGAAGCTGCCATGACTAACTTAGTAAATAAATAAGAGCACCATGTCCTTTTCCTTCAGGATGGTTTCAATCCACTTATTCAACAGATTCATGAAGCAATGACTGGAAACGTGGCTGCCCCGGGAAGAGAGCTGACGCAAAGGCTCCACGGTCCTGTCTTCAGGCCTGTCTGCTCCCTACCTGGGGTGGCTCTGGCTTGCCTGGACAAGGACTGCTTCCACGCCAACAGTGCTAGTGGGGCCTCAGGTCTCCAGGCCAGGCCCCCTTCTTTCTGCTCTGTCCATCATGGCTATAAAATTGGTATAGCAATGCACATGCAGGTCCATGATCCCCCTATTTGAAACCTTAGAGGCCAGATGTGTGTCACAAATTTGGGGTGTTCCAGATCTGAGAAAGGCACTATGATACATATATTACTTATTTTATAACACCCCCTGCTTGGCTTGGGGGTAGCACCCACACTCATACACATTAATATTTCTGCTGTAAAACGTATAAGTAATGTAGGATGCATAATATTATAAGTAGCATACTGTTGGTTCAGGTTAGTTTGTGCCATCATTAGTTCAAGCCAGCTTAGATTTTGCTGCCAAAATGGGGTAAGTATGCACATATACACACACAAATTTGATTTTCAGAGCTTTTTGGATTTTATAATTTAGATAAAAGGTTGTTCAGTGCTTACTACTGTTAAAATAGTAGCTTGCATAGATTGCCTATTATGTGCCAGGTACTGGGCTGGGCAGTTTATGAGCATCTATTGCACCAAAGTATCAGAGCCTATGAATAAAAATTGAGTTTTTTGTTGTACCATCAAGCGCTTGATAACGACATGTGGCTAATGGCTAGTATTAGATTAGTTATATGTGCTTAGTGGCTACTGCGTTAGACAGCACTGTGTTGGACAGCCACTGTGTTGGACCCCTTCCTTCGGAGCAGGAAGTTCTATTGGACAATGCTGATCTATAGGTCATGTCATGTTGTGGT